TCTGCTCCTCATGAGGACCAAAGAAGGCCAATGGGAGCATTTGCTCCCTTCAGTCTCCCGCTATGGACATTGTGCAGAAACTTGAATTAAGGTACCACAACTACAGCTACATAATTAACATAGCTGGAGTTGCTATCTTAAATCAACCTTCCCACTGTAGTGTAGACCTGATCTTAGTGTAATAATGCTGCAGTCTTCAACCAGTAGGGCCTGCTTAAAAATAATAGGATATCTACCATTAACTTAAATGATACGGGATTGCAGCTTATATCTGTGATCACCCCCAAAGAACCTAGATATTACAATTGATTATAGTTCGTACTGTTGATATCAAGTGTCAAAACTTTTACCTCATAGAAAAATTCCCTTTCTATGGCCTCAAAATCAAAGATCCCAAACCTGCAAACGTTTATGTTCACATGTAACTTGAAATATGAATGTAATCCCCATTCACTGTAATGTTTAAAGTGAGAAATGTATAAAATGTTTGCAGGACTAGGCTCGAGTTACCAAATTTTGCATTGTGTGTTCATAGGGAGGGATGAGGGTGGAGATGCAAAACAAAATAGGTAACCTGAAAACCAATTCTAAACTTGGAAATAAAATACAGCAAAAATGAAATGAATAGAACTATAGAAAGAATTTAACTGTGGGGAAAAAATTACTGATAACCATCTTACCTTAATGAGTTAAAGTAAGTAATTTCAGATATTTAAAAGTTAGAACTAGATTCTGATTAAAGCTCCAGGATCTGCATATCTAATTGATCAATATTTTTGGTTGGAATATCAATTTGAAATTAAACTCAAAATTTTCATATTTAAATCTGAATGTTCTGAATTGTCCGCTTTGTTTCAAAATAGACTTCTCTCATACACAGTAGAACTAAAACCATTTATTATTTTAACTAATGAGATTTTTTTTAACAAAACCCTTTATTGCATATCTAGATTTATATTGAAACTTTACTGAAAAGTATTCCATTTTTAGTAGCATTAAGAGAATATAAAGACTTATGGGTGAAATCCTGCTTTCTTTACTTTATAGTCTGTCCCCATTTTTAAATCTGTGGGATTGCTTGTATGAGCCAGGTAAGCAGGATTTGGCCCAAATCTGCACAAATCAGAACATTATGTAAAACTGCAATCTAGGTAATCTTTCAGTCCTCTGAAGGGGAAGATACTGTAGATTGTAGGGTTGCTTTTAGAATTGAAAATCTCATACAATTGTAACTGGGTTTTTTTTCCTGGGGAAAAATAATTGCATTTAAATATTTTAGGTATTTGGAGAAAATATTTAGGAATTGCTCTCTCAAACACAAACCCTGGTCGTTTCTTTGTCATCTCATGTTGTAGCATATTTGCAGTCGCCAAAATGTGTTTCTAGTTTCAGATCATCCACAAAAACCATGCAGGTATTGCAGAAGGACCAAGCTATATCCTTAGGCCACATGCTAGAGTTTAAGCAAGCCAATGAGAACCGATCTGAAATATTAGAACTTGGTTTCTTTTCAGTGTTGAATGAAAGGAAGTGAGACCGGCTGAGTGGGAAATAGTGTTGTGTGCTGTCCATCAGATTAATTTTGTGTAAATTGCATTACATGTTTGAAAATGTGATTGTAGTCTTAAAGCTTGTTATATTTTGAATTACTTCTCCTTATAACCTAAACTCCTTCATTCAGGCCATAGTGTTGGGTTTGAATAGATGGAGTAGACACTGAATTAGGTATTGAAGTCCTGAGTTTTAAAGTTGGCTCTGCAGTACTGGATTGTGACATAGAGCAAGTCTCTCCATTTTTTTCCTCTATTTTCCTATCTGTAAAATGAAAATAATACATAGTTACCTATTCATGTGGATGTGTGTGGTGCAGAACTTGGAATCTAGAAAGAATTATGTAAATTCTATTCCTTTAAAATCTTTTAGCTCATTTGCAGAATAGAGAAGTTTGTGCTCTATAGGAAGAGGAAGAATTAGAGGAATGGGTTGTGAATCTAGAGGAGGAAACAGAACTCTCCTAAAACAAAGTGATTTCTGAAATGTCAAAGCTGTCTGTGTACTGCATTGTGGCACTAGTACAACTTTAATGTTTGTGTACATGATGACTGTCTTAAATGTTTCATTTTGGACAATCTGGTAAACTGTAGAACAATGAAATGTTAACTTGGTCACAGTACCTTTTGCCTAAAACAATTGTTAGTGACTAAAGTAAATATTCATTCCATGGGCAAACAGATCATTAATCTAGCAGACCAAAGCTCTAGCAAAAATCCTGATGTTGAAATTTCATCAGCTTTCTGCGATCAGTTTTGCTGAACTTTATATAGAACTTCAGACCTAGTAGATGAAGATACTTCGTTAAGTATTCTTTCCTAAATGTTCTGTTCAATTAAAGTGTGCGCGCGCGCACAGTCACTATAAAGTTTCTCGGAAAGAGTTCAGCTTCAATGTATTTGTACATTTTGAGATCCTAATAGATGCTCAGCTGTTGAAAATACAGCAACAGTGTGCACATACAGATTAACAAGACCTGTACCACACTGTGCTGAGGTATTAGCCGTCTGCTCTTATGGAATTGTGATAGCTGAAAACCAGCTGCTATCATATGTCTACATATAAACCTCTTCACGACATCCGGGGAGCATATTCAAATAGTTTTCCCATTTTTGGCCTTGGTCATTGTTTGTCTAATGCTATTTTCTCTCACTGCTCAAGGGCACAGTATCTTAGATTAGTTTTCACAGGCAACAATGGTACAAAATGGAAAAAGAATTTAGTTATGTATTGGCCTTTTATTTTTTTTACATACATACATACTTTTTATGCTTGTCACCAAAAGGGAGAATTTACAACCAATACTGTTCTTATTCTTGAGATCATGGAGCATATCGTGCAGAATTAATTTTTAAAAATTGGCTTTTTACAGGTAAAATAGTATTTAATTTATTCTCAGACCTCATCTCTCTCTTCTCCATAGTGTTTCTGCTTATTAACAGGACTACACTAAGGCTACGTCTACACTGGCCCCTTTTCCTAAAGGGGCAAGCTAATTTTAAACTTCGTAATAGGGAAATCCGCGGGGGATTTAAATATCCCCCGCGGGATTTAAATAAAGATGTCCGCCGCTTTTTTCCGGCTTGTAGAAAAGCCGGAAAAGAGCGTCTAGACTGGCCCGATCCTCTGGAATAAAGCCCTATTCCGGAGGATCTCTTATTCCTACTTCAAAGGAATAAGAGATTCTCCGGAATAAGGCTTTATTCCAGAGGATCGGGCCAGTCTAGACGCTCTTTTCCGGCTTTTCTACAAGCCGGAAAAAAGCGGCGGACATCTTTATTTAAATCCCGCGGGGGATATTTAAATCCCCCGCGGATTTCCCTATTACGAAGTTTAAAATTAGCATGCCCCTTTAGGAAAAGGGGCCAGTGTAGACGTAGCCTTTGATTTTAACACTCTCCTTTGCTTACTTACACTGTTACTCTCTTTATGTGCACTATTGCTGCTAGTTGCATAAGCAGTTCCTTCAGGAATTACAGCTTGCTTTTTACTGCAGGGACATAGAGCGGGACTGTTGTAATGAATTACATCCACTGACAAGATCAGTTCTTACTAGCTAGTGATCCGAGTATTCAGATTCTTTGTTTCCTTCAGAACTTGTATGCTTTATTTCTCAATTATTGAAATTCAAAGACTTTTTCCTCATTAAGAATAGCAGTGGATTTTATATAGAGATTATACTTATTAATTATAAATTGTTAAATGGAGTGCATAAAGAGACGAATGGAAATGTGAATCAAAGTAACAAGTTTCAACAGGTTTATTTGCCACCCCAAACCAATTTCTTGGGGTGAGTCACTCAATGGTGTTGGTGACAACAGTTCATTTTTCTGTGACTTGAAAACCTAGAATAGCAGGATAAGAGGGTGTAACAAGAGGAATACATTTGAGATTTTAAAACAAATGAAGATGCTTGAGGAGGAAGGGAGTGAGCCAGTAAAGATGCTGGAGCATAACCAGGTACATAGTTCTGGGCATATGCTTATTACTTTCTAGCCTCTTCAGGAGCATCTTTTCTACTTACTCCCTCTCTTCAGCTACATTTTTAAAAAAGTGTTCCTGGCATTTGATGGAAAGGACTTTCTCAAACTCAGTAACATCTAGTAGGTAGACCATATAAGGTCAATCCCAGGACAGAAAATATCTAATATGCCATCACAATTCACAAATGGGAATTCAGAATTTGGTATCTTAATGGTTAGCAGATTTTTTTTGAGGCAATATAGAAATTAAGCCATTATACTATTCAAATCTAAAATTGGCCTCAACTGCATGACAATGTTCAAAGTATAGCATTAAAACTTGCAGTAGTTAGCACATTCTAAAACTGCAAGACGCTCCCAATGTCTACAGCAGGGCGGGTAGAAGGAACTGTAGCCTTTGTATTTAAAAGAAAATATTTGATCATGTTGAAAATTCTCTTTCCCATCTTTGGATAGTTGAAGACTAACTTGAGTTATTTCATTTGTGCCAAATACGATATTGTGTAAGCAAAGAATTTTTACAGAGGGGAAATTCAAAGCCAGAAGCAAGTATTGGAAACCACAGTAGTTTGTGTTTTTTGGAATGTGGAAAAGTTTTGAAATATATATTCAATTGCTTCTACAACACATTCAGCTTCTAGTAGATCATGTTCTGTCCAAACTGTCTCAAGGTGTTCTAAGAAGTGATTTAATGGAAATATAAAATTTCTTTGAAGTGCTAAAATAATTCAGACTTGTATAAGCACTAATAAATAACCCTGTTTGGCAAAAATTTACAGATTTCTGAAAAACAAAAATGAAAACATTTTATAACACATTTGTAAAAATATTTCAAATTATTACAAGCACTTCCTATAGCTTTTGTCAACAATACACTTGGCAGTTACTCGATAAGCTCCCAAAAAGTTAATAAGATGGCACTTAAATCATTACTGAATAACTAAAATCTTTGTTTTGAATCCGTAGTTGGTGACAAGGTTCCTGCTG